ATATCTTATTTATCCTAATGGGAACAATCGAGCCTATGCGTGGAACATCCTATCCTGGACTTGCCAACCGTCTTACTAAGCTTCAAAATCTTACCAACACTAAGATAGACTTATGATATTAAACATGAATGTATTATTTAAAAATTAAATAGTAGGAAACAGTTCAAAATAACAGCAAGGTACTTAAGGGCTTATTTATTCATAAATTATATTTTCTATCTATTCTCATCTAGGATAATTTGTACATTTTGTAATTAATCAAAAATCTGGTCCACATTGAATAAACCAAGACAAGATTATGGAATTTTTAAACTTCCATTTTCTATAAATTGGAGAATGTTAACTATTACATGGTCTATAGTTAATTCTTCGAAACTAGTTTAGTATTGTGACAAATCCATGTTGAACATTTAGCTGATTTGAGCCCTATGTAAAAAAGAAAACCTATTTTGGTTTGTATTATTTATTTTGTTCATCTTACAAAAGAAAGTTTTCTTTTTGAATTATTGGTAAAAAGAGAATTCCTAATGAAAGGCTTTTATGAGGTCTAATATTTGTAATTAACATTTAAATTGAAAGGGATTTCATTGTTCTAACTATATGGGAAAGACATCTATAGTTCAAGTATTTAAAACCAATCATTTGATCTGTTTATTGATGAACTAATTTTTTACTGAAAAAGAAACTAATTTTTTTCAAAAGGGAATGATATGTTATCTTTAAAATTGAATCAATAAAATAGTAGCTTACTAAAAACTGAAAAAAAATAGAAAAAAAAAACAATTCATGTTTTTTTCAAACATTTTCTATTACACATATTCGTAAAGTGTATTTTGATCGATACCTTTATTTGGTATTCTTTCTTATTTAATTCTATATCTTGTTCCATAAAAGAGTAGTTTTGACATTAAGATTACTATTGGTACGCTAGGAACAAATGTTTTTGCTTTTGTGTGGGGCAACGGCTATAATTCAAAGGGTGTGTCATTACGTTCATGCAATTTAGAAAAAAAAATCCTTATTGAAAAGAAAATCAAAGAGAAGTTATAGGAGTTTTTTATAGATTAAAACAACATAACAAAATATTACTTCCATAGTGAGGGCTTTTTGGCACACAAAAAACATAGGGTCATCTACATGAATTTTTTAGGGGTATTTTTATTGAACTTAAACTACATATGGGTGTTTTAATAAGACCTTTGATGTGGTATTTTTAGAGTTTGTAATGTGTTTTTTAAGGGTATTTTTGAAGATAGCAGAAATAATTACTCTGTGCTGCTGCAACCACCAATATGTATCCCTCAATAAAGATAACGGTCTATATCTTAAAAAGTTTAAACTGTTACAATCAAATGGTCAGAACTACTTATTTCACACCATTCAATGATGGATTTAATATGATATGCAAAAGACTCTACAGTTTAGCCATGCCTAAAATACATAACTTGTATGGTCGTTACGACAAACTCGAAATTGGTATTGGAATTTCTACAATTACTTAAATGCACTTCTATTAAATACTTTTATCATATGAAAACACAAATTAGAAATCCATACCATTTTGTTTTCGTGATGCTTAACAATATTAAAGAAACTATTTAGGTGTTTGAAAGGTTGGTCTATAGAGCTTGAAAATATCAATACGCCATTGATATAAACAATTATGAATGTGCTATAAGGGTTGAATATATCATTCATAATATTTTGAAATTTCGATGGAACATTTTTTAGACCAAACAGCATTACTTTCAACTCATAATGCCTAAAGGGTGATGTAAATGTTGTTTTGTATCTATCTTCTTCTGCTATGATGATTTGCCAAAATCCAAATTTCATGTCAAATTTTAAAAATATTTTTGCATTATATAATCTATTAAGAAGATCTGTTTTATTTGGAATAGGATACCTTATCCATTGCAATATCTTATTAAGTAGTTTATAATTATTACTAATCTTGGAAGACCTTTTTTTTCAGCTTGATTCATAGCATAAAAGGTAGCACAACTCCATGGAGATTTTGATGGTCTTATTAATTTCTTTTCTAATAAAGTTTGAATATCTTCATTATAGAATTCTAGAAATTCATGATTCATTTGTATTGATCAGGCTTTTGTTGGAATATTTTTCTCTGAGAAATCTTTTTCATATGGCAGGTTAACCATATACCTATTTCTCTCCCAAAATGCATTTGGTAAATCTTAACATACTTCACTTTTAATAAGATTTTCTAAATCTATTTTTTTAAAAAAGAACTATTTTTAAGCTGTTTCTCAATTTGTAAATAGGATTTTTCTTCCTTTAAGAAACTAATTTGTTTTATAGATTAATTTGCTTATAGATCGAAGAAGATTGTAATAAAGAAAGTTCCTTTTGTTTTACTGGTGGTAAGAAATTTGAAAGAAAATTGTTCTACCTATTATATTAGTATTAATTCCTTCTGAATCTACTGAGAAAGGATATATTTGAATTAAAAATGGAGTTCCTAATATAATATCTTGATAAATATTACTAACTACTATGAATGAATGTCTAAAACAGTATTCATCATTACAAATTACAACTTTTGACAGCTTATAATTAATTTGGAGAGGTTCTCCATTTGCGGCTAATAATTGTTCATTAGTCCTCTGAAAATATTTTGTAGGGACTATTCCTTCTTTTATACAACTTTGATCAACTCGACTACCTAATAATGCCATGATTAAATTGTTCTGCTATTATAGTTACTATAACATACCATTTTTGAAAATCTATTTCTCTAATATTTATAAATATTGCTGATTTGATTGTTCTTTATAGAAGAGAAAAGAGCTGAAAGTTGAAACCTGGAAGATGAAAGGTTTTTTCTCACCTTTTGCTTAGGGTTGTGGAACCAAATCAGGATCTCCTCAAACCTGATGAAGATGACCTGCTGACAATAGGAAGGCCAATGCTGAGAAGGAAGACGAAAGGTAAGAAACAGACCATAACGGCTAGCAAATGGAGGCAACAGAATAAGGAATTAGAGTAAGACGCTCTTTAAGTTTTAGTCTGTAAATGTCCTCGAATGTTACAAAACTGTCAACATACCTAGAAATGTTTCATAGTCGATAAATGTTGTCCATAAATTTAACTTTAAACTTGTAAGTATGCACTGAATTATATATTATTTTGATTATCTATTATTAATAAGTATTTATGACATCATTCGATTGAATCCAGCAAACCATTGATCCTTGACTCCTGAGCTCGACCAAATCGCAACTAGGTCCAAATTCAAAATATAGCGTACAACAACGTCCAGTTTATCCCATTCCCATGCAACTTCAATAATTTCGAGTATTTGCTGTATGGAAAATATTAACTGGCATCACAATCTGTAACTTGGGAACTTATGTGGTCATTGGTATTTTGTTAGGCAAATTATGAAGTAAAACAATTTGACATGTGTTTGTATAGGTGTAGTTCTATGACCATTCAAAAACAGAATTACAAAAACAAAAAAGAAAATCAACAGAGCATGGATTACTTTTCCATTTTTTCTTATCTTTTTAAAACATGATTTTAATATATAAAACAATAGATTCTTGAATGAAATTCCCATAATGTACTGTCCTCAAATCCAGTTTGAAGAGGCAAGCATGCAATACGGGTATGAGCAAATTAGTAATGGATTGAAAGGTAACTGCTAGACTGGTAGCTGTGAGAATGGTTGTTGAAAAGTGAAAATGTCAGATAAAGCACTAACTAATTTAAGCTGAGCCCCTCTAGGCTAAGCAAACTGAGGCTACAAATACCACGATACTCGAAAGTAAACCTCAAATACTTATCTATGTTGTTGTAGAAAAGGCCACTGTGAAAGAATGCGACCACCACCTCCAGGGCCAGGCTTTCTTGGTGGTTTGTGCAATTGCATAGCATCTTGGTTAGTGGTGACTACACTGCATTCAGACGTGGGAAATGAGAATATTTGTTACAACACTTCTTGGTGATGTCAAAGTTAATGCATTACATTCATTCTTGTATGGCTGAACATTTACATTTACTCTTAAATCTCAATGGTCTTGAATCTTGAATGTGCTTCTAATCTCATTGGAGTAAAGGATTCATTGGTCAGTTTGCTATTATCAATATCTTCTTAATTTTTATCGGTTGGGTTCCAAAATTTCATATATTACCACCTAATATGTGTCTCGTGTACATCTTGCAACTTGAAATTGCAGTTTAAGTATCTTGTGCTGCTGCTGGTAGCTGCAAGACTGCTTTGGTGGTCCAATGCGGCCGCCTGGACCAATCGGACCACCGCCTCGGCCTTGATTATAAGCTGCTTCTTCAACCTTGCTGATGCCTCCTGCGTTTACATGATTTATGACCTACCAGGAATACCTAATCATGTTGTTCTACTGTTTTGAGTGATAATGGGGCAACAATCTTACTTTTGTGTTATTATTATTATTATTACTACTACTTAGTAAAATTTTATATAAATACTCAAAAAACGACTAATTTTCTTTTATCATACCCATCTAAATGAGAGGGGGTGGCAGGGGGGAGTGGGTGGGACTATCTGAATGACGGTACAACAGTACTGACAGACTTGAGACTTCAATTCACTTGTCCCAAAGTACCATAATGTAGACAAACTAAAACTACATGATTTTTCAAGATTTGCTTAGCAAATACTACTAAATTAAAGCATCTGCCAAAAATGTGAACTTAAAATAAAGCATGTCTTTATTGTATCTTTGATTTTTCCATGAGAAGGGAATGGTAAACATCAAACAGGCATGACATATTTCAGTCAATCAGAGATCAAGAAGGCAAGGTCAAGATTAGAATCTACTGGATAGTATTATAATAATAATAATAATAATCAGCTGTACTGATTTGCAAACTGAGCAACTAGGAAACTCGTTTGAAAATGCTTGCACTATGAGTCGATTTCCATTCCGTCAGATCTTCCTTCTAAACGCAAAAGACAATTTTAAACTGCAGACACCTTGAGGCAAAAAAGGCGAGTATGAACTAAATTCACTGCATAATTGTTCAAAAGGGATGAAGGGGTACAAATTCCCCAATCACTTAACAACAGACAACAAAACAAATTATTAGCAATGAACTGCCTTTCATCAATGAATTTACATTGTTAGTTTTATATTCTTTACTACAATGCAAAACCCAAAATTTACACTTCCATTCAGCATAATCCTTCAAAGTTCATACTCGCTCCATAATCCTTCAGTTCATGGACAAAAAATGGGAAATTGCTCGTGAGCAATTTGTCTGACCACAGACAGAATGTTAAAATTGCAGATGGAAGCAGTTGCCAGAAGTCAGATCGTGCACGACCGGCAGACAGGTTATAAGACCTCCATGAAGTTCTAGAACATATACACAGCCTCCAAGCAATCAAGGCACGAGGAAAAGGGGTTGATGATCTCAAGCACTTGATGATGATACTCGAAGAGACAGATCTTGAAAATCGGTGACCTGATTTAAACATTTTATCAATCCTCTTCTTCAGATGCTTCGTTCAACCACTGCCAAATTGTACAGATGTTTAAGAGATTAGCATCTGGCAAGCACAACTACAGGGAAAGGATCACAAAGCACTTGCGGTCATTCAACTCCACTAAGAACAAACTAAATTTGGGAGCTTTGGAAGCAACATATAAGAAGAGAAGAAAAGAAAGAAAGGCAGGCATGTCGATCTACTTTTATCGGGAGATTAGGACGGTATATAAAACAATTTGCTTTCCTCGTCTTAGGAAAGATGCAAAGGGTGGGGGAAGGAAGGCAAGTTCAAGTACCTTTTCAAATATTGTGTCCTTGTGATGAGAAATTTCTTAGATAAGAGAAAACTTATTTTAATGGAAATCACAAGAAGTTAAATATCTTACTTAACTCTTTTCCCATAAGTAGAAAGAAAACTAAACAAGTCATGGTAGCAGATTGGTCATTAAGCAGGCTCTGATAGCGATAGCTTACTTACCATGCAAAGCTTCTTGAGATTGTTAATTACTTTGCTAGGGAGCAAAAATGCTCAACATATCTTCTACCCTCCCTCCCCACAAGTCCCCATCCCCATACATATTTTCCAAACTACATGAAAACCCTTTAGGTCTTCTATCACATTGAATAAAATTCCCCCATCAACAATAATCGAAATCATTCGGAATAATTACTCCCTTCAAAGCTCAAGGAAGGCAAAGGCGTGACAAGGAAAAAGTATAAGAAGAACATTTAGTTTAGAGCATGCTGACACAGAAGGTAGTTACAATTTTGGAAAATCCACCAAAACTATGCGAACAAGGCAGATCTGACGAGATCCATACTTTAACGCTAAACAAAATGGTCTGCTCAAACACAATTATTTACCTGGATGAATTTTTCTGCCTGCTTGACAAATAGCTTATCAGTCTCATCAGCACCTTCCTTCTCAGATGCCCAGTTGAGTATTGCTTCCTCTTGTATGATATCTTTGTCATAAAGAAGATGCAGAATCTATGGGAAAAAAGTTGGTGCCTCGTTATTATATAGCAAAAAAGTAAAAAGTCATTCACTTCATGCAGCATATATTAGAAACAAATCTCATATATTAGAAACAAATCTAACGATGTATAATTCCTCACATCAAAATGGAAAAGATGTGGAAAGTTTGGATCCTAACTGGTCTTACATGAAGGCTACTACATAGAACTACTTACAATCAAAGAAGCCTTGCAATTAAACCAGTCAAAACTGAGTTTCCTACATCCGTTGCATATCAGTAGATTAGCATGCAGGGAACACCTCCTCCAATTAAGAGGTTGCACCAAATTTGAGAGCCACAACAATACTCAACTTTCCATTCTAAATATCAATAAGCAGGGACTCTTAAATATTTCCAAAAAACAAGAGCATCAATGTCCCACGCCAGAGAACTAGTGAATATGTCACATCAAATGAGAATGAGCATAGGCTAGAACAAAAACGTGGACGTGTAACTAAAGAAAACTAGTAGGAAACAAGAACAAATGTAACACACAGCTATCTTGCTCTTCTAGAACCCAGGAACAAGTCCAAAGTAAGACACATTTGCTGCTATTGATATGCAAAGAGGCAATTACATGAAATTGTGAATTACAAACTTTGGTTTGAAAGTATGCCATTGGTACCTAGCATTCAATGTGAGGCTACTTGTTCTAATAAAAAGATAAAAAGCTAGCAAGGAAATTTCTAATATATATATGTATATATATATATATAGCAAGTATATACATATATAAATATGTAAATGTGTGTGTGTGTAAAAGTACTATATTTAGAAGAAAATTTTCTCTTTCATACGTGGCACCTCCAATCGCTCAGCATTTACGGATTTTGTATGGATCATCTGGAATTTGGGTAAAACCTGTTTCTGTTGATCAAACGGATAAAATTCAGTCCTAATCACATTGGTCTCTTAATTTTCAACATAAATCCAAAAGAAGAGCGGTTTGAGATAGTTTTAGCCATATTGAAAAAAGTTATCTTCTAAAAATAGGATTATATAATCTGCATTTTAATTCAAATCTATCATGGGTTATTGTTATCCCCTAATCTCAAATTTTTCATGGGGTTGCCTAATTTTAAGGATTCCAAAATTCACGGTGTATAAACATGAGGTTGAGGATGGGTAATCAGAATATAAGTTATCACACAACAGGATTTTTGAGACTTCGATGAAGATGAAAGAGGGAAGGCTCTGGGAACGTTCAAGAACTCCAACCCGATGGTCTCAGAATGCTGAATGAATTTTGGATTTTCATCTAATGAGTTCAATAGTGCTCTTTTTGCAAAATTTTGTTTCATCTCCTAGCAAAATATGCTCTACAAATGAGTTTTGCTTGCCAAATTTATCCATGTTTCTATTAACTAATTAATTTGTTTTTGTTGCTGACAACGAAAAAAAAAAAGGAGAAATAGCGCTATGAAGGATAGCCATAGAAAGAAAAGTTGTGGCAAGAGTGGTCAAAGGATGACTTGAAAATTACAGGGCAAAAGTTTAATCGTTATTTTACTTCTCTATTCATATTATTGGACAAATTTTCGTTTTTTTATCTCTCCAAGCTTTATTTGTGTGTGTGTGTTGTGTTTTTCTTTTTGTTAATGTATGGGCTTGAAAGAAAACAGATCCAAAAATAAAAGTCCTAGCTTTTCAAAAATAGTTTAGTTCATATGTTATTTCACCATTTTCCTATTACCTTTCTCATGGAAATAAACAATAAAATTTCCATGCATGTGCACGGGTTCTGGCAATGTTATAGTCTGAAGAATATTCTAAAAAAAGTTTGGAAGAATCACTTGATAAGGCATAGAATTATCTCTAACATAACCATGACTACTTCGTAAATTAATTTTTACACCATAGTATGAAGTTGAAGACTTCACATAAGAAGCATTGAAGCATAAAAAGTTGATAAAAACTTTTTTAAGAATTGATAAGGCATAAAAACTTGATAAGGCAAAAAAAGTTGGCCCTTGATAAGAAGCATTGAAAACTTCACATAATGTTTGAAGCAATTAAGTATTTACACTATTGTATGGCTGCACATGATGTGACAGCTAGAAGTCATCTAACCATATGATAAATTATCTCATGACTATTAACTTTAATTTTCAACTATTACTTGGCTAAGTTACACTACTTATCCTTCAACTAGCAAATGCAGTATGACCTGATTGTCCACACAAACATGAAGGCTCATGGACACAGATGTAAAAATTCATCCTTACCTACTCTTCTTCTATATCATAAATTACTAAAGAATCTATGTCGGTTGGAAACAAGAATGCGATTGTACAAACTGGAATGTCTACAAAATGAGATCTATCACTCCGTAAAAGACGTGTGCTTGTTTGTATGTGTGCAAAAAGAGTTGGAGATGCAAAGATACAATTTCAAGTCATAGATCACATTAGAGAATAAGAGTAATCAGCATTTGCAGCAAAGAAGAAGACATCATTAACTCTGAAGACTGGGATTCTCAGTACACTTAATAAACTTCATTATCAGCATCCGAGGAGACCAATATTCTAAATAGCTTCTATGAAAAACTTTCTGATTTCACATCAATTTGCAGTTTGATGAAACTATTAAGAAAACTTTTGGAATTAAAAATTTAATGGAGATTAACATACCTGTACAAACACTGTTGAATACTCCTTTGCAGATTCCAAGCACATTTCTTCAAATTTCAGTATCACTTCGATCTGAAGTATAACAAAACTTTAGTTAATAATCAAAAACAGAAACATACACTTAACCTATACCCACTTAAATTTCCAGGTGAATATCACTGCAATAAGGTGATTAAAGAACCTGTCAATCAATACATCAAATGCCACAGACACCACTAAGATCTCTCATAAAGAGAGTCATGACAATGCGTTTTACTATCTACAGGAACCTGTACTTCTCACAAGTGCAGCATTTTGTCATAGAAAAAAATATCATGCAATTACTTCTTGCAATACATCCCCAAAAATGTACTACTTGATTTGTTAAAGACACACATCTTAGGGGAAGCAAGATATTAGGCCTAAGGCTACCATGGCCACAGCTTTGAAGAACATTAAGACAATAATTTTGTAAAAGGGATGCTTGGAATTGGACCTAAGATGAGCCTAAAGTAGTTGAGACTTTCTCTACAGGCAAAAGCCTGCAATCTAAAATTACACAATGCAATAACAATCAAACTGAGCAGTAAACACCTCATCAGGATCAGATGAAGAGATCAATAGACCAACCTCTTCATCTATACTTGGCAGGTAATACTTCAAAAGTTTTTTCCATTTTGTAATGACAGTTGCAGCATTTTTCACCAAATCACCTGCAATGAAGCATAAACAAGCTTTTACACAAGCAAAGATTTGCATATCCTCCTCAGTTACTTGGCACAAAGAGGGAAGTACCAACTTCAGTCACTTAAACAACAAAATTCAACCCAATGATGGTACTACATTTCAAGATACTATTTGCTGGTTGATTATCCCTATTTCTTTGTCTCTCTCTCTCTTCTGATTTTAAATACAAAGTGATGCACTGGTTATACAATCAAGACAGAAAACAAGGCTAAGGCTCAGTCTGGAAAAAAAATGGGCCAGTTTATTCTGAACAAACTTCAATCACCCAGGATGAGGCTAGTTTCATCTAGTCCTACTTTTTTTAAAAAAATTGATTCATAAACTAGCTTTAGTTTTAACAACTATATATATTAGCATGATACAATAGGTTGCATTTATTACTATATATGTTAACCAAAAAGCAATCTAATAGGTCCTAAAGCAATTTGTTAAAGTCTATCAAGTTACTCTGGTTTAAAAAGTTTCCAGTTTCAGGCCTTAATTCAACTGAAAGTACACCCAATTTACTCTTCAAATAGAAACGTGTAAAGAAAAAATCCAACCATGTTCTTGAGATATACTTAACAAAACAAAATAATGATACTGATGTACAGGCAGTAGCAGCAGCAAATAGTTACTCCTAACATCCAGAAAATTAACCAAACAATAATAGCAGATAAATGGAGTTAAAAAGAAGACAAAAGAAGACTGTACTAGGTGATGGATGTGGTGCACTGAGTGCTGACTTCATCATTGAATAGAATAATGCACCAGAACAATCTGCAGTTGCCAAATTGTACGACAACCTGATGCATAAAAAATTAAGCTATCAGATATGATCAAGCAGTCATCAATATATTGGTTCTTTGCAAGAATTGTTTCATTGGAATACTTAAATTAGACACAAAAGATTCCACATGACTAAAAGCGAATGGTTTAGTTTTAAAGAATAAACCTACATGTATGTATATATAGAGATGCCTCTGTGTGTGTCAATGTGTCAGGGTGTGTTTTTGTGTTTCTGTGGCATGAGTGAGGTCTTTTTGTGTTCTTGTACAATGTAATAGATAAATATGCACTGCAAACAAAGGCATACCATGTAAACCTTCCCAAAATAAAAAAAAATAAAAAAAAAATCAGCACTTCATTATTATCTTCTTTAGTGTCAATTAAGTATGCATGACTGAGTCTCCTCAATTTATGGTTTCACTTCCCAAAATATTTAGAAGTTCTTTTGAGAAGGAAGACCACAATACGATAAAGTTTCATGCAGGTTCGTCAATGGACTCGATCTCTATCTAACTCACCAGGAGGACACAAATACCCTTTTTCTACACTCCTCTATTGTCACGTCTTTATGTATATCCAGGCACAAACACCTCCAACAAAATTTAGAGAAAACCAAACCACCCCAATTTCCAATGAAATCTACAGCAACCTCCCAAAAAACAACCCCAAACAAACATGCCAAGACTAAATTATCACCTCTTCTTCCTCCTCCACCACCCCCAGCACCCTCTCACTCCCAGCACCCACCCCACCCCTCTCATCCCTCTACCCCCACAAAACCAAAACCATCACCCCCACCCACCCACATTGGTGCGCCCTCCCACCACCACCACCTCTACCCTCCTTCCTCCTTCCTCCTTCCTCTTCCTCTCCCCTCTTTTCTTCATCCCTCTTTTCCCAAGATTTTGGTTGCGGTCAGGACCAGATCCAGTCACAACCAAGGTTCAGACCAGATCTGTCTGCAGAGCAGGGGTGGAGGAGAGAAAAGAGGGCAAGGGGACAGGTGGAGGAGGGAGGAGGAGGAGGGGGCAGAGGTGTGGATGCATCAGGGTGGAATTGGGAGAGTGGGTAGAGGTGGTGTACTTGGAAGTAGGGGAGAGAGAAGAACACCACAGAAAAAACATCTAACAACACACATGCCCAAAAACTTTTTTAAAAACTTTCTACAGTGAAGTTTCCTGAAAACAACCAATCCAAACGGACCATTAATTATTCAGCACTACTTGCCTGTAGTTTTTATTTAAGTGGCTAGAATTACTTAACTCATTCTTTCAGCAATATAGAAGTATTACTCATACTTTTAGAACTCATCCAATTCATGTCATGACAAAAGCATTGAGAAACTAATCCTGGCATGCTTGTTTCATCTTCAAGCATGGGATCTATCATCCCATTTCAAGAAAATTATCCCGTGAACATAGATGACACTACCCAGATGACAACTTGATAGGACAAGAATGTCGAGTGACTGTTTTGTACTCATTTTGACTTGTATCAGTAGTCCAGCAGCTATCTCATACTAACCAATTACAGTACTGTACTATCTTCAATCCTAACAATAATGACGAACCTAATGGTTGATGACTGTTTTAAAGAGGATGAGAAATTTTAGGATAATTAATCCTAGGATGGCTCGTCTTTCATCCAATCAACTAACCAAATGAGCCATTCAGTATCATGATACTTTTGCAGCCAAGTAAGAACAGTCCAAACCATTTTCTGGAGTAAAATTTCCAAATCTATGCATTTAATGCATGCTTTTGAAAATCACCTTGAAAATCCAGCAACAGAACTACGTACACTGTACTCCCAAGAATTAAATAAACAGCTCATGTCTTTGGTTTACATGAGAGATTCTACATCACCAAAATAGTTCCTGTTCTTCTATCTACAAAATTAACATCACTACATCTCACTTTATATTCCCTGGGAGCTTACTTTTAGAGATGCAGACATATCTTCAACTCTGCTAACTAAAGATCCCCAGGAATTAAAGAAAGAAGCATTTTAACTTGCATAAATGTAGAAACCATCTCACCATTAAGCACTAAAACAACGTAAAACATACCGCAATGAATTGACCTCCAATATTACATCGTCTTCCTTAATATTCTCCTCTAGAGCCCGTTTAAAAGTAGCTTCAACCTGCAAGCGTAAATGCAAAATTCATATTTGGGTCCAACAAAAACCGTTAAAGGACAGTATGCCTATAACCAAATACCTCGTTCTCAAAAAACTCATAGTCATCTTTGACATCAACATCATCATCATCATAATCATTCGAATTAGCAGTAACAGAATCACGTTCCAGCTCCCCTGAAGGAGGAAGATTGCCATCTTGTTGCACCACCTCAAGTTCATTGTTTGAGGTGTGCATAATTTCAAGAAGCTTGGCTGGAGGAATAGGTGCAACTGAATGCCTCCATTCCTCTTCATGACTGCCCTCACTTGTGGACCAAATGAAACCAACCCCACCACTACCAACCTGGTGATTCAAAATGGCTCGTTATGCATGCTATAAAAATTCTTTTCAGGTTTATATAGACTAGTCGGTACTGAGTCCTCTAAATTACACATCAATCAAGGCTCAGAAAGCTAACGGACCATGAAATTTAAAGAATATTATGGCTAATGAGTATAAGATTTTCCACTCAAATGAGTACCTTACCCAGATATGTCATTCTTTAGGATGAGACAGAAGATACAGTAAGAGAGCCTTCTGTGTAATTTCACCAATCATTCTAGAAGATATCATTTTAAAAGCAAACATTTTTACATTAAAAGAACAAAACTTTTTAAAACGCAGTATAAACAATTTTAAATATCCCTAATGGAGTTTTTGCCCTGGAGAACCTAAGCCAAGCATACCCGAAATTAAGATAAAGAACCCCAGAATTAGCTATGCCAGGGCACTTTATTGAGCATCAAAAGAACTTATTAAAAACATCTACCCACGATATCATACTATGGTACATTTCAAAAGCCCTAATGAAGTTTTCTCCTGGAGAAGTTACACCAAGCATACTGTGGATTTATGAAAACAAAGAACCCCTAAGATGACTGCTTTACTCATGAAACAATAATCCTGCCTCTTGGGCATTTTACAGCTCATTTAACCAAGTTCACCAATAGAAACCATGATAATGTGATAAATCAAGAAACATTTCTGAACTTTTCACAGATAATGTGCATCTGCGTTACGCTTGTCAAGAGTTGAATAACATGTCAAGAAAAGTACAGAAACAAGAATTTCCTCGAGTCACGATAAAATTGGAATATAACAGATGCATAAATCACCAAGAAGATATCTAAATATTCAAAACAAAAAACTATGACCTAAGTTACAAATTGATAGAACTGGTAACCAAACCTCAGATGCAGCCTGCAGCTGCGACTCAGATAATTGTATAGTTGACTCTTCCTTCAACTTATCTGGCAAACCAGACAGTGCTGCACAACAAATGGCTAATATCAGGAGTACTCCTGGATAACTTAAATATGTCTGTTCTAAAATAAGTAGCAATCACCAAACACAAAGAAAAACACAATAAACAAATACATGAATAAACAAACTAACAAATAACTATGCATTAGCATCACTAGCTAACTTATTCTACAAGTCCATCTGAAGTAACATTATCTAAAAGACAGCTACATTGGAAGCCACAGACTGCAATGTTCTTCAGCTCTCTTTTCCACCTTTGGGATCTCCAGTCTACTGACTGTTAACAAATACTAATGGCTTGATAACACCAACAAAATGACCAAGACAGCAGAAACTTCATAACGAATCTCTCAAAATGGTCCAATTTTAAAACAGGATATATCAAGATCTCCAAACTAGCTTGTCATAGCTAAGATCTTTATAGGCTGAGCTGCACAGAGATGGTTCCAAACTACACTAATCTCATTAATCCCATCGAATGAAGCAGTAATTTGACTTTTGGATGGACCTGGCATAATACTTGGGGGCCCAAAGGATAACAAGGTTGTTTAGCCCAAAAAAAAAAGTGAATGAATTAAAAAGTGTATATTAACATTATCAGGAGCAGACATCACCCAAGCATTACAACCCCAATTCATGAATAAGCCCATCAACGACTTGATTTGGCACAACATCTTTCTACCTGGTTGTAGGCTCCAAACATTTGAGATTCTGGGATATCCAGTTAAAACTTTGATATGGCAGCACCTAGATGTCTATCAACTCTAATCAATTCCCTCATCTCTGGATTTTCTCCAATGTAAAATTGCTACCAACCCAGAAGCTATTTGAAGCACAAACAACCGAAACGACAGATATTCAAAATGGCTCTGCCCCCAGATTTGCTTCTCTTGATAAGGAAAAATCCCTTGATCAATCACTTTCCATCTGCTCATGCCCCAGATTTGCAAAATGACCACATTATCTCCCCCTCACTTCTACAGTAACTGTCCAGATATTATTATCAGGCACATATCTATCACACTTATATAACAAGGTCATATTCTTTCTTTTGCTTATCCTAATTGAAACAAATTTTTGCTTAAGCTTGAGTTCAGCATCTCAGCTAGCTGTATATAATTTTTGTTCCCTTAAAGGAACATCTTGCTTGTTGCATGATTGCCACCTTAGCATTTCATGCTATAGACCATATGAAATCTATACCATTTCATGCTGTAAACAAGCCGAGATAGTTGAAGGTAAGTAATTACATGAAGCATCCATGAATCCAGTGCTGCTGTCAGCATATTCCAGTTCCTCATCACTATCTTGTTTGATGGGCTGCTGATACAAGGATACCTTTGAGTATGCAGGAACAATAAACTGTTGTCCTACCACAACCTGATGGCAAAAAAAAGCAGCAGCTTAGATCTATGGTGCCAATTAAATTTCTGAATGCTCGAAAAAAAACTAATACGCATGTAAGAATATTTATGTGCACGACACATCTGAATTGGCAAATTAAGCAACAAGTATCAGGACAGAAGATTCATCATTCACGTATAAAGCACTTCAACGTGATAATGCAATAAGAATATTTCACCAAATATGTTATTGATTGTGTAACTTACTTAGTATGATTTCAAAAGATGAAATTAATCAATAGAAGATAAATTTCAAAGCCACAATTACTGCATAGTTTTTATGTTAGGCACTAAGCTTATGAAGATTTCACAGTGATTTTTTACACTTAGACCATATAAACATTCAAAAAAGACCATAAAGAAGTTCTATGTACCATTTTGAATCCATCTAATCACAATGATCCTTAAAAAGTGCATACAAGCCTCGCAAAAAATGGCGTAACCATATGCCCTCCTTTGCACTAACCTTGTCAAACTTTCTATTTGGAACATCCCGCTTACATTTCTTTATAAGCAAATATTTGTAGAAATGTCAACTTCTGAACGTATTATTTTGAGAATTATAAATCAATAGACAATTATTTGAGTAATGTACTGCATCATACCCTTTTACTGTTCTCATTTTCCTTCTCTTCTAAAACTATTGGAAACATCACCTTAATACAATACTTTTGCTTATTTGTGGTGCTGTGTTAAATACGATCCCAAACAGCACACTCTGTAGAACAGCCAACAGTAAGTCATACCCCTGCCACTCTTAGAACCAAACCAGCTTCACCCACCCAAAGAGGCCACACTTGGTATTCCCACCAGCACACATGCTATTGATATCTTATACAATATAATAAAGAATACAGATATAATTCTTTGGCATGCTCGAAAAAACAAGCATGCTGTCCAAATGCTAATGGACAAGCATTTTTATGTGTTAAATATCACACACTTGAGCTATCAAATATTATCTTTCCACAAGGATCTTTGTCAACCACCATTATTTCCCTATGCCAATGAAACATAATAATCGTCAGAAACTTAAAAAGATTTCTGTCACAGAAAATCGGCAGCCAATTAAGCTCGTCCATTACTTGAAGGATAATGTTCATAGCCTTCATAGTAAGCTGAAAAAACATGAAGTTCAATAACTGCATCCAGGTAAACAAGAGGATGCTGTTTGCTGAGTAATAATAACATACAACAGAAAATTTTATGAAGTTTCTCTTCTTTTCTACTTCTAGGAGAACTTGAAATTGAAACGTTAGTTAAAAAGGAAAACCTTGTATGACAAGACTACACCAGGTTCCAGAATCACTCCTGACTTTATTACCACCCCATCACACACTATTGCATGCTTTAGTTGACAACCATCTTCAATCGTAACATTGTGCCATATGTAGCAACCCTCTATTGAAACATTTGCACCAATTTTACAACCTTCACCAACTACTGAATTTGAAATTTGAGACTGGCTTCCAATGGTAGTGCCACTTCCTATAACGGTAAATGGCCCAACTTGCGCAGAACGTGACTGCCCCACCACTGAACATAATCAAGTGACAGCATCAGAAGGAACTAAAAGATAATGGTCCCAGTTCACTCAGAGCAATAGCTTCCACTTAAAAAAGTTTGGAGACCATATTACAAGATATACATGGAGTAGCAGCTCATTCAGGAGAACAAAAAGGAAGAAGAAGAAACAAACTTTAAGAAAATCCAACAAAACTTAGCTATTTTGGAAACTAAAAGGGAGGGCAGTGGTTAACTATGAACAGATTACAGCATTATACATAAGATAAACAAAGGTGACTGGAATTAAGAAATGGATTCTTTTGCAGTCAAAGCAACCTATCTATTGCAATATTAGTAAAATTTCTTTAAAATAAAAAGAAACAGAAGGTAAACATGGGAAATCTATTCCTACAATTCTGTTGGTCAATTAAAAATATCTTATGTCAAAAGCAGCCGTGACTGCTACGTGCTCGCAAAGAAAGTCACTAAGATAGGGTAAAACATTGAAACTATATCAGCTTATAGACAGAGCTCCCATAAGTGCACCCTGCAAGTAACATAACATTCATTTGTAGGGCAACCTAATACAGAAAACAAGACAAGAGAGGAAAGACCATGTGACACATTAGCTCCCATGACCAGCACCCAGAGGGGACAAATAATGGAGAACCAACATGAAGAAAACCTCCATATCAACATCTTCCAATTTTTCTCTATCCATTTTTGTTAATTTTTAAATTTTCAGAAAAAACAAATAGTGAAAGCACAACAGATGGGCATTATGTCATCTGATGCACTTCCACCTCATCTGACAGAGTGATCAAATACAGGAGGTGGACGCTAAAGCACCATCATCAACTTCTTTCGACACCAACTCATAGAAGATCAATCAGCCAGCTAATAAGCACATTACTTACCTGATGCTCGGTACATTCCTTGTCTGTCAAGTTTAGTAGAAGAATTTCCAAAAAATTGTACATCAGGCACCAATGGATATGTCCATCTTTGAATAATGTCCTTGCTGACAGTATCATAGCTTCGGAAATTATCAATTCTAGCCGCATAATTTGATTGAATTTCATGAGTGAAAATCTTGTAACCCATTATCTGACAACAAAGAAAAGATGTACAAAAGATCAGAAAGACAGAGTATACATGCGTCAATCAACCAAAAGAGATTTTAAAGACTTGGAATTTGCAAAGGCTTGCTTGATTGCATAGCCAATTATACTAATCACAAGGTTCCACTTTTATGACCAAGATAAACAAACCAAACATTAGCACTAAAACCTAAGCACAGGACCAACTTAAAGAGGTAGACAAAATATCACTGAGCATCCATTGGCTACTTGAAAGAATAAAATCAAAGATGCAACATTTCTTGCACCACCAAAAGGTCATCTAAGCTTTATACCATATCATGAGCAAATAAATTGAGGTTGTAAGCATGTTGGAAAATGCAGATCTTACATTCCACAAATTATAAGAGGAACAGGAGGATGAGAAGTAAAACAATAAGCTATCAAATATTGAGCAAGCACACTGCAGTTCTGAGACTGATTGACTATGAGGATTTATATCTAAAGCAACTATATAAGAAGGAAGAGGAAAAGAAATCCTCCCATCATACTTAGATGCAAGAACATCATGCACTAAAAATAATTAATGAGGCATATTTCTGAGACACAAGTAGTTCGGTGTAAAAGTAGAAGGTTCCACATGTTGGTAACTTCTTGCAATAAATCCAGCTAATGGATAAAGCTCTAAGAAAGATCAAAACAATGCCATGCATTTCCAAATTCATTAGAGTCAAGAAGAGGATATAAAAGATAGTGTATAAAAATAACATTAGCTAAAAAGTACACAGATGAGTGAAGTTCATATGCATCTATTCAAAGGTCTGTTTATGGTTTTGTGAATTGATACTATTCCAGGATTCCTATACTGGTCAAACTAGTCCAACAGTGGCGAAAATGTTCTCATTCAGTTTGTCCTGTCCATAGCTTTTGGTTATTCAAGAAGAGATAAGACTTACTGATATACTTCTAAGCACACAAAAGAAGGTTTCCATTAAACATGGCATGACATGCCCATCAACCATAAAACAGCTCAAGCAAATTTCAAGCACAAACTGCAGAGGACTTTTATTGATTTTGAAACTATAGAGGACCTTTGTTCAAGGGTATCTCAAAATGGTGGTACGTTGTTATTGAAGATAGTTAATTTTTTCCAATTGTATGGAACCTTTACTAACCTCATATCCGCAAGAACATCCAGCTCATCAGGATTTACTTGGTTAGTTTAAAAAATTAATTTTACAAAGCATTTATAACATGATGGAGGCATCCCTGCATCATGCAATGCTGAATTTTACTATATCTCATGGGCAACCTGCTCAAGCATGTAGTTTCATGCTGCTGACTGCTCATACTAGCATTGCTAATAATGAGATTTCTACACCATCTGCAAAAGCAATATCTGCTATACGTGCACATTAGCTTTCCAAGTATGCCATTTCTACATTCATCTTCAGTCTATACTGGTCAGCAAAGGGCACCAATAATTCATACTAGCATTGCTAATAATGAGATTTCTATACCATCTGCAAAAGCAATATCTGCTATACGTGCACATTAGCTTTCCAAGTATGCCATTTCTACATTCATCTTCAGTCTATATTGGTCAGCAAAGGGCACCAATAATTCATGCATTTATCTATGACAGGATACATCACAAATACATCTTAGTCACTAAGACCTAATTGATTGTTACTATACCTCCCACAAAATTCTGAAAAGACAGAGGTCTTGTGGCCAGGAGGCTTCTACCAAATGTCTCATCAACATCTGCCCTATTTTAAGACCATTGCTTGGCCCTCCCTAAGAGAGAAGAATTAAGATTCTTAAGCTAGCATTTCTCATTTCTCATTTGCTTGGCCCTCTCTATATTAGCATGGGATTGTGGTGCACCATTTTTGTCATATTTCTCATTTATCCATCAAACTATCGCCTAGTGTCCCTTTCAAACATGGAGAAAATAGCTTTTTGCTTAAGGCAATGACGCTAGTCTACAGCAGAAGCTTCTTTGATGCAAAAGGTGAAATTTCTTTGCCTGTAGATAACTCTCTCTCTCTCTCTTGCTTCCCATGCTTGTGCAGTACCACCCATACACCTAACACCTGAAACTAACTAATTCGCTACATTTCTTTGATTTCCGCTTAGCATTTTTTCAATCAAATCAATTAATGCAGTCACCCAACTATTTTAGAAGGCACATTATCTCGAACTAGACCTAGGCTTGATTTAAAAATAAAAATACCCATTAATTACTCTACAGAGAGTCTTTATGAGAAAAAGCTCCAGAAATAAATGGTCCATATGCACACCCAAGAGAAAATTAGTAAGACAATGTACGAAAACATAAAATCAAGACCAGAATAAGAGGTATAAGTAATTTTTCCAATACACTGACTCAGAAGCTCTTTCCAGAGCTGATTTCTATTTACTTCAATAACACAAAAAATAAAGACATTGCTACTACAAGCCTTCAAAGAAAACACCTGGACATGCACTCACACCACTGTATTACAAGATGTTCTTAGACCAGAGTACTCTGTATACATAGCTAAAATGCAGTGAGATCCACAAGACTGCAGTTACTCATAGGCCTTATCAAATACTTTGTCTACCACTTCCCACTTTGATTGGTGGAGTGCTTAGGCAGTAAACTGCTCCTGTGCATGTCCAGGTGTGTGTGTGTGTGTGTGAGAGAGAGAGAGAGAGAGAGAGAGAAATAAGCCAAGAGATGCAAGGCATACATCATCATCAAGCAAACCCTTCAAAAAATGACGCCGTAGATGTTGATAGTCAAAATTGTCAGCGAATGTGCTCAGGACTTCCGGAGAGCAAATGTCAATGTAGCAATCCTGCAAAAAACCATAAAATCCAATTACACTGCCCCAAAAACATAACTATTTTCCGGGGGAAAATGACGAAGAAAAAAGACGGTATCTTTGGGGGAATCTCTAATGATTTGACAAGGCTGTCTTACAAGTAAATTACCAAAAGTTATCAATTTTGACACCATAAACCATACCCAGGAAACTAAAAGTACGGGTATCCAGATGAACTGCCCCAGCAGTGAGTTTTTAAGTTGATAAGAATATGCTTAAGATCGAGTCTATCCATGTCCACATATCAAAGCAGTAAGCAAACTAAGTGAAATCCATTCATGGTGTGGCAGAGAACAAAAGTGTTCACGGAAAAGAAGTAGCAGGCTGCACTTCCATACATCAGGGATGACGAAAACTGACCCCCTCCTACCCCCCCCCCAACAAAAAAATACCAAAAAAGAGGGGAAAAAGTTGATGATGATGATGATGAAGAAACTCAGTAAGTTTGAAAATGACCATTAATAAGCACTAGATTCTCTTTCGGTTTCTATTGCAAAGCCATGTTAAGTAGCAAATCTCAAAACTAACTTTGTCGAAAGCACAAACAATACCAAAGGCAAGTGAAAAATAACTCAAAATACAAACCTGCTTGTCATTATGCAGATAAATAGATGGATGATCAGAAAGCAATGTCTTATCAAGTGACACTGTTCCTTTATCAGACTTATCCTCGTAATAGAGGAGTTGCTTTGTATCAGGATCAATTGCCATAAACAACTCATCAGTTCCAAGACGAGATTGACGAGTTGTTGGAGATGTTTTTGACTGTGTTATGACCATGGTCATTATGGCATTGCTATCCTTTCTCCTCCTCTCCTTATGTTCTCCAAGTGCCTCTGCAAGAGACATATTACTCACTGTATCTCCACTAACAAGGACAAAATCTCCACGTATCTACAGAGGTAAAAGTAAAGCCAATCATCACATGATAAACAACAGGCGGAAAGCAGTAGCAAAACTTAGATAAATAAATAAATAAGAAGATCCAAACACATGAACTATCCTAGTCACAGAGAACAAATGGTATATTGCACCTAAATTAGCTTACTGATACATTACATATAACATCGATCAAGTCAAGTTCCTAAACTGCTGGCAGCATTTAATGATTGAAACAAATATGTACTTTCCTTTCCTCCTTTCCTGGAGAGACTTTGCAAAGTACAAACCATTGGAAGAACAGGACTGACAAGCAAAAACAGAGAGCAAAAGTTCAATTTTGTATTTGAAATGAACAACAGAATGGAGGGTGCATCAAGTGGGTATAATTTTCTTTTCAACATATTTTTCACATAACATCTTTTTCAAGGCTACTTTGACAAAAAGTATAGTAATCCCTACAAACTTCCAAGAAAATGACTTTCCACCCATCCAAGTCAGACAGAGTAAATGTAGAAGTCCAGACTGTAAATTGTCCTCTAATCAGAAAGTGAGCATAAAAGAACAAAAAGCAATGTCAAAACTCCACAAGAGACTCTCAAGTCCTTATTCAAGTCGCTGCAAATATTGCCAGTTGGCTGTTCATCCTGCTGAGATTGCAAACAACACATTGAAATATAATTCCGTTTTACTTGGAAGGAGAGAACAGAAGCTTTTCCATAGATAATCACACGTAACATAAAATCAACAATAGTGAACAATCAGTGACAACTCAGAATGCTATCTTGATTCTTCAGCTAAATCTATCAAATAAAATTAAACCCAAAATGGATCTTTTTCTCACCCTAAAGTTCATTTTCCCTTTGATTTTAAGCATTGGCAGACAATAACAATTATAGTTTCACACTGATTTGCTGAATTTCCGACATCCTAAGGTTTCATTAATAGAAAAAACAGTCATTGATAATGTAACAAAGCTACAACAACACAAAACATCCATTAAATCAACATACCACATTTTGCTCATATATCAAACGCAAAGCATCACCAGCACCAACCGCATTGTTCGATTCGATAGCCGTCACAGAAAAGTTCGGTTGTGCAAACCACTGCGAATTTTCCAAATGCTCAGCCACTTGTTTCGCATGAGCACAACAAAACACAAAAACCTCTTCAACTCCAGCTGATTCTAGCCACGCTAAAGTATAATCAATCATCGGAACATTCACTAGCGGCAGCAAAACCTTCAATTTCATAAATATTCAGATTAAAAACAACATATACGCAGCAATTGAACAGAAAATTTTCACTTGAATTTCAAGATGCATAGACAATTGAATTACCTTCGGGCGCTCAAGGGTTATCGGGCGGAACTTAGTGGCGAAGCTATCAGCTAAGAGGATGGCTTGCAAGGGAACACGTGCTAATTCCTCGACAGAAACTTCCGTTGCAGCGGCGGTTCCTCCGCCACCGCCTCCTCGGTTTCTGCCACTCTGTTTCGCCACCATTTTTTCCCAGCTTGGCTAAGTGGTTTCTGAAATTTTAATGAAGTAATTAGACACAAAATTGTTCAATTGAGGATTTGAAAAACGAGAATTCCTGGTGTTGCTGGGTGGGTAAAAACCCTCCTGGGACATATAACATATTCCTTCTTGAAGTCCATAAACCCCAGTGGTTTTTCCGGGGAAATGGCTGATTTAGTCCTCCAACTCTTCTGGTAAACAGATTTAGTCCCTATACTTTCTTTATCTCTCTAATTAATCTTTGGACTTCTATTTTTATGTCAATTTAGTCCCTCCAAACATGTGAAGCATTTTCACACTTATATAAAATAGTGAATTAGAAGTATTCCCATATTGGTTAAGTACCATACTGCCCCAAAATGTATCATGTTGTTTCAAGTATTGCGAACTCAATTTAGCTAACAGAGTTTAGTTTATCATCTTTAATTTAATAATTTATAAGCCACTTCTGATAAAGTTGAATAATTAGGTTTTGGGAAAAATGTATTTTTCATCCTCGAAATTTGGTATAACGACCAATTTCGTCCGCAAAGTGTTGATGCAAACACATTTTATCCTCAAACTTGCTCAATTTCGATCGATTGAGGACAATTGATAGAAATCAAACCAAATTGGATGGAGACTTGCTTGCTCCGTTAGCCATTGTATTTTGGACAGCTAAATGGGGAATAAATCCCTTATTATTTCTCTTCCTTGTTCGCTTATGGTCTCTCTTCTTCTCTCTTCATCGAGCCTTAATTTTAGCCACTCCCATAGCATCTTCAATCCTCAATTTGCCAACAAGAAGAGTGGCAATAAAGGATGCCGAGGAGAAATTAGTCTCAAGCAATAAGTAGCCCAAATTTTGGAGATTGGATGTTATCAATAGGCTTATGTGATTATGGGCTGTAAACAAAATTAACAACTTGTTGGCATGATGAAAATCAAAGAAGAAGGTTCATTGGTTGTCCTCTATGGTCAGTAAGAAATATTTGTGATATGAACATACTAATGCTTGTTTGATTTTTTGCTGTCTAATTCGGAAAAAATGTTCTTGTTTTGTTTCTTTAGAGATCGAATATATGCAAGTACTTTAAGTGGGTTGATGAGCCAATGTGTGCAAGAGGAAGAGTTCTTATACTAGTTAACTGAAAAAGGTGAACTAGATCAAAGACAATGTTGAAAAAATGCGCAAGAGGGAGAAAATTTGGATTAGCATAATTGTGATGTTGGTTGTCCTGCTGGTTCTGAGTTGGAGGTGCAAAAGCGAAGGAAATCCAGAGGGGAGCAAGTTGCTGCAGAGTTTGGAGTGATCGGCCCTGTTTGGAAGGTGAGTTTTTTGGGTGTTTATATAAAACTTTATTGTAGATCACTGTAGAAGTTGTAGAAAAATTTTTGTAAGATGAAAATTTTTTTCCTTTTCATTTTCTTTATTTCTTTTTCTTTTTTCTTTTTTTTCTTTCTTTTTTTTTCTTTTCCTTCCTCCCCTCCCGCTTCTATCCCTTCCTCTTCCCTTCCCTGTTCCCTCTCCCGAGACTTCCATGGTCGTAACTCACAGCAAATTTTTTTTTTTTTTTTTGCTTTTTTTCTCTTCCCCTCTATCTCCCTCGCCACCCCTCCCTAATACTCTCCTTTTTATCTTCTTCAATACAACCTTCACCACACACAGCAATTCCATTCCAATAGCTCCTTCTCCTGCTGCTCCTTTTCCTCCTCTTCCTCCAAAATCTTCTAATTCATTTTCATTCTCTTCTTCAGGAAGTTGTTGGACAATGACGCGCATGAAATTTGCCTGGGAAGCGGCCACTAGCCCGACGGCTTGGCTTTTCGAGAGCCGAGGCTTATTGTCTTGGGTCAGAGCTGGAGCCAGAGAGGAGAGCTGCTTAACAGTTTCGCGAGCTTTGAGGAGGTTTTTGCTAGGTTGATTAGGCTTCCTGGACACAGTTTGGCTAAGGTTTTGGGAATGGTGCAGAGTCGCTGCGGCGAAGATGGAAAAATAGCGGTGGCTACGATCAACCGCGAACAGGGCTGAGGAAAGTGGAACTGTTAAAAACATCGTCGTCCTAAGACGGATAAGTGAAATGGGACGGATCATCATCACCGGCAGAGCTAGTCGGAAGTCTGTACTTCTACTACTAAGTAGTCACTTCCTAGGAAAAAGGAAAGTTTTTTTTTTTGCTTTTTTCCTCTTCCCCTCTGGCCGCCGGAATAATGACCGGCGCTAGAAGTGGTGGTGGTGGTGGCCGCCGGCGACGGAATACGTGGTGGGTTGGGTGGGGGAGGAAAAAGAAGAAAAATTGAAGGGAAAGTTTTTTGTGTATTTTTGAAGTGTGTAGGTTAAAAACTTTGATAAATTTTTTGGATTCCTGTAGCAAAAGTTGTTAAAAAACTAGTATTATACAAACTTGGTAAAAACTTGAGGTTCCATACAGGTCCGATATTTTGTTGTTTTTGCAGAAGAAGATCAGAAAGTGACATTGGTGTACTGAGAAATTGAAACTGTATTTTGTAAAAATTGATGTGAATTGCAGTTGTAATTGACCTTTGTTTTTTGGTAAAAAAATGTGTGAATCAAATCGAGAACTTGATGTAGATGGAACCGAGTAGGAATCGAAATGTATGAGAATCCCATATTGTGCAAGGAAATGGAACATGTTCTACTAGCAAGAAACTAGTTTCAATTCTGAAATTGTAATTGGTTTCCCCAAATTTGTTGTCCCTGTTTTACATTAAAGGGTACTTGACTGTGTCTTTATTTTATACCAAATTGCATGAATTAATGTACAAAAGAAACTGTAAAAGAAAAGAAAACAATATAAGACAGAGAAATGTATGAAAACATGAAAAGTGATTGTATTGAATTCATAGTTTCATATGGTCATGTTTCCTAGGGGTGGCAATTCGGGTCCAAATCAGGTTGGCGTCAGAAAATCTGTTGACCCGAATCCGACTCGCCAACCCGTGACGGGTTAGGTATACTGACCCGAACCCGAAAATTTCAGGTTGACGGGTTGGCGGGTCGACCCGAAATGACCCGAAACTTAATTTTAATTTATTAATTTATCACTGTAATTTCTAATAAAATTAATTTCTCACAAAACTAATTACATAATCAAGTAATAAAAATTTAAATAAATAATTCCAAACCAAATCTAAAATAAATTAAACACCGTAAAAGTGTTTTATCCCAAACAAAATATAAAATAAATTAAAACAATATAAAAGTAAAAAATAATATAATATATTATTTGTCCAAATATAATAATTTCAACTTCACACAAATTAAATAAATTCATTTAGGATTAAGTAATTAATGCCTTTGAAAAAAAGAATAACTTAGTTTAGTTAGATAAAATTATTTTTATGTTTATTAAATTATTTTTAATTCGTAAACGGGTCATATCGGGTCATATCAGGTCACTACGGATTGACCCGAAATCGACCTGTTTTCTTTTCGGGTTCATCGGGTTCAACTCGATTCTTACTCGAATTCCCGAAACCTCAACCCAAACCCATTAATTTCGTGTTAGGTTCGTGTCGTGTTTTCAGGTCGTGTCGAAAATTGTCACCCCTAATGTTTCCCATTGAGTTGTGGACCATAGACACACGTGTTTCTCACTTAGCTTGGGACCATAAACAAAAAAAAAAAAAAAAAAAAAACAAAATGTTACTACTATTAGTTAAAATAGGTCCTAGATGCAATATTTTTTTTTTCGGAGACGACAAAAGTTGTATAACCTAATCTATTCTACACTAAGGGGAGGGGGCGGACCTAAGGAGGCCCAGGGATAACTCGGAGGGGACTGAATCACCACCGGACTAAACGGATGCACAACACACCCGCTTAAATTTTTTTGAAACAAATCACTTAATTGTGATATTTTTGACACCAAGCTAGGTAGGTCTTAGATGCAATAGTTATCTTCGCATCTTTTATCAAGTCAAAAGAGCCAAAAGTTAATGCATAATTGTCTTTTTCAATTCTGAGAAACTCAGACTTTTTGCAGATAAAAGTTAATGCATAATTGTCGCAAAGCCAATAATTGTCACAGCAGCTTCTCTTTTCCCTTTGACGTAGGTGACCAGCAACGACATGTATGTGAACATCTTTAATGTTGAAGGAATTTGAACCTTATCTTTAGTTATAGGAAGTGGGTTGTTGCTATATTTCACTTGAGACCTTAACAATCAAAAAAAAAAAAAAAAGGTTAAAACTACAGCATTTCTTATATATCCAGCAACACATGTTCAACTAGACATACACTAGTCATGTTAGTGCTTCTTGTTCACCTTGCTGCCTCTGCTACAAAAAACTGGGAACGAACATTGAACTTCAGAATAAAAGAAAATGTAAAAACGAATTGTAAATGCAAATTCCAATTTTGTATTTCTACCCTTTTTCCTGAAGACTTAGTAGCAGGCCTCTTGGTCTTCCTTCTGACATGTAACTTAAAAGGAAAGCAATAGTTACCTTCATATCTATTTAACCAATTAGTGTAGACTAGGAGGTGCTCACCACGCTTACGCGCGGTGTAGATTTCAAAGACTGGCATGCCCGGTGTTGCTGAGTAAACTAATAAAAAACTGGAAACAAGGAATTGACAAAATTGGAAATTATAATGAATAACATATCAAAGGCATAAGTAAAAAACATTACAAGTAATAAGTGCAGACTGTTGATACATGAAGGCTCGAGTAAAAATACAGAATAGGTAGATTGTCAATCATTAATGTTGAGATTGTTAATGTTGAGGTTGTCAATGTTGAGAGCTTCATTTGTAGTGTAGTAAGTGGTATATTTCATAAGTTACGCATTTCATCATCCTGGACTTTGAAGTAGAAGGCTTGATGTAGCATATAAGCATCTTTCAATGTAGAATAGTCTGGAGATGCTGAGCTATATCCATGTTCTAGTGCGGATAAAGCGAGAAAGCAATATAAGCTTTTGAAAAAATAGAGGGAAACAATTGTTTTGTAAAAAAAAATGATAATTACTTCTATTTGCAAACATTAGAGCTCAGTAGTTGAAAACTGAGTTAGCCTTTCGACTTCAGAGGACATTGCAATAGGACAGAGAGTTCCAGTTAAATCCATGATCCAAATCGAAATACAATCCTTGGAATTAATAAACAAATATACAAGTGATTGGAGGCTTAGAAATCAGATAC